CATCTTAAAGCTTCATATAAGATTTTCCTTAGTTTAGGTTGGGCGTGGTGGCTCAAGCTTGTAATCCCAGCTACTTGGGAAGCAGAGATCAGAAGGATTATAGTTCAAGACCAACCCAAGCAACAAGTTGCTGAGACCTGCCCCCCTCCCCGCCCCGTGTCAACCAATGGCTGTGTGTGGTGGCATGTGCCTGTCACTCCAGCTATACAAGGAGGCACACATAGGAGGATCTTGGTTCAGGCTGACCTCACATAAAGCAAGACCCTATCTCAGAAATAACCAATGCAAAAGGCTGGTGGAGTTGCTCAAGTGGCAGAGTGCCTACCTAACAATGGAGGCCTGAGCTCAATACCTAGTCCCACCAAAAAAGAAGAAGAAAGAATTTAATCACTCATTCAGTAACTATTTCATCTACTTATGTGTTGGGGACTGCACAAGGCCCTGGAATGCAAAGGTGAGCAAGACAATCACAGCCCCCGATGTTTGGGGACAGCCTGAAAGGAATGATAGAAGCACAAGTGACTTCTCACAACCCCTGTAGGTAAAACCAAAGGGAATAACAGCAGTGTAAGACTCCTTAACCTCATCTGGAGACTTGGATTCCAGTTTATTCTTCGTCTTAGAGAAAAGTAAGAGCACTGTTTGGTGACTAATTTCGAAAAAGGGCTTACTGGCCTCTTGAAGCCAGTGAGAGTATGGGATACCTTTATTTCTGGTGACAAGGTTTAACAAGTCTTTCCTTGGATCAGCCTGATGTTGACAATGCCTGGCTCTGGCAGGTTCAAATTATTACTTGACTTCAACAATATCAACGTCCATGTTTTTTACAAAAAAATCAAAACACTGACTTCATACAAAAAATGCTTAAGCAAATTTAACTAAGAGGATCCAAACATTGAAAATTTCAATTTATGTTCCTTAGATAGCTTTTACAAGTTTCTGGTAGGAGTCTGTAGTGGGTTATACCTCAGTGTGTGGAGGCCACTGAGTGTAACCTCACTTGGTTTCACTCCTTAACTGCCATCGGTGTCTTTTTCTAGTGTCTCTTTTTTTAAAACTTCATTAAAAAAAAATGTCACCTGTCCAGGATAAGTCTGTTGGGATCTAATTGTGGAAGATAAAGTCACCCAGTCTTCATCTGGGAGGTTGCCATTGTTGGAGGGTGGTTGGGTAGGCATGGTTTATGCTGTTTGTATGTTAGTATAGGATTTGGCTGATGGCCTTGTCCTTGCTGATGTCACAGTGGGAAACTGAAGGGAGAAACAGAGATTATCTCTGGGAAAGGTTTTGTAAAATTATTTTCAGAGCTTTAAAAAAAATGATTTTTACCAAACTGATGTCAATAAATATAAAAATTTAAATATCACTATATTATTAGGACATATAGTTTAAGATATTTTTAAAGAAATTTCTTTTTTAAAGCAATTGGAGGAAATTTGGAAAATATAAAGAAAAATTTGAATCAGTAGATATTGTTTACTTGTTTTTCAATGCATTTTTTTTTTTTACTTAACTGACATTATATTATATAAATGCCTTTTAAAAAAATTTTTTAAGGTGTCGAAGAGTAGTTCAGGTAACAGATGGCAGTTTTTCCTGCCTTGGGGCCTGACCTGGTCTCTGGGTGCTGGAATCAGGCACAATTAGTTAGGGGCTGAGAGTAACTTTGAGCTGGAATTTTAGGCAAATCCATAGTGGGGAAAATAATCTATTACTACCAGGAAGAAAAGAGTCTCAACCTAGTCTAGAGTGTGATGGGGAGGGCTTGCCTCTCTAGGGCTTGTTTGTTGACAGGGTCACTTTACCCAACCCTGAATCCCCCTCCTAACTACATTCTCCCCACAACCGTAATGCTGCCAGAGAGAATGGTCAGTGCTAAAGGTCTGGAAGGAATGGGGGTGGTCAGAACTATAGAGAATTTACTCAATTTCACTTCTCCTTCTTCCTGGGAATTCATGACTATTCACCAAATTGTCTCTTCCCTAGGGAATTAGGGGCCAGGGAGAAGATGCTTCAATCACCAAAGAGGTAGGATGGAAATTCCTCCCATGTTGTAGATTTAGAGGCTGTTAAGGTGGAGTAAACTGAGACCTCAGACTGTCTCACATAGTCATTACATTGTCAGTAAAATTCTAATGCCTCAGTAAATGAATTAGCACTAAGCCATGTTGACTTCAGCTCCTCTCAACATGAGCTGCCTCGGAGGCACTCAGAAATATGTAAACAGGGAAGTTCGGGTGGGTTTAAAATTAGACCTAGCCTCTTCCATCCAGTGAAGGCATTTTTGGTCATGGAGGAGAAAATGAAGCCTGTTCTGACAGGAAGAGTAAATCCATAAGAGAGAGACCTCTCACTGCCTGGGTGAGTAGGGAAGCACGCTTGCCTCTCTCACCCACTGTCCCTTTCTGAGTGCTTCTCCTTTGCTGGGCTTGTGTGGAATAAGCTTTGCCATGGTTAGGGCATGATGCACCCAGGCTCCCAAGCGCTGCTTGATAAGCCAAGAGTTTAGAATGAACAGCTTTCGAGTTTCATGGCTGTCAAAAATGTGTCTTGGCCCCTCCCCTCAAACACCAGAGCTTCCTGAAGGTTCCTGAAGTGTCAAGGTTCTGTCTGTGGATTAACTCATAAATGAGCAGCTCATGTCCAGCCAGGCTAAGATCCCTGTGCAGGTTTAGAAAATCAGAGGCCTGTCAGACAACAGGGCTGTGATCCTTGCCTTTGCAGAATTTGGATTATATTCTAAATGAAATAATAGAAGCTACTGCTTCATGGTGCTGTCAAATTAAACTAAGACACAATGAATTTTTTCTGCTATTTAAAAGAATTCTGTCATATGACGGTCTGATATTTCCTTCCCTCCAAAAGACAACTACATTCTCAAAATCCAGAATCATATCTCAACTCCTCAGACTGAAACAAGCATTCAGTTTTGGTATTTCACAGCTATTTTTTTTTTTGGCTCAAGCTGTTAACCATGTAAAGTCTTCATAAAATATGTCAAGAAATACTTCAGATATGCAGGAAACTGTGTAATATAATGAACACCTCTGAGCTTATTACTCAGCATAAGAAACAAGACATGACCCATACAGTTGGAGTCTCCTGTATTCCTATCCCATACCTAGATAACTATGATCACTTCCATGCTTATTTTATTATGGTTTTGTTTTGCATGTTTAATACTTCATATAAAACTCCATACTACACACATTTACTTGTGACTTGCTTTCCCTCGTCTTTATATTCATGAGATCCGTCTATGTAGAGATGTGTACACATATGCATGTGAGACATTTGTGTATCATAGTCAACCATATATATGCACAATAATATTCACTTATCCATTCCTAAACATTGCTCAGTTGTTCCTCAAAAGGGTTTATACCAATTCTAACAACCACTAGCAACATATAAATAATTCTTGTTGCTTCTTCTCTTTGACAAAGATTGATATCATCAGGGTATAATTTTTGCAATCTGATAGGTGAAGACTACTCTAACTCTTTCGTTTGCGTTTTTGGTTATTAGTGATATTAAGCATGTTTATTGGCTAGTTTTCTACTTTTTGAGTAAGCCATTTATATATTTTGGCCATTTTTCTCCCACTTTAAAGTACTAACCAGGCCTTATCCTACTTAACTTCTCAGATTATAAAAGAGCAGGCACACTCAGGGTGGTATGGCCAGAGGCCAGAGATATGGCAATTTTTCTGTTAGGGGGCAGGGGTTGTTGATGTGTATTACCTTCTAGGAATTCTTTATGTATTCTGGAAGCTAAGCCTTTCTTTTTGTGTGCAGGTATCTTCCCTCAGTCTGGTTTGTCTTTGTATTTTCTTTATGGTGAATTTTGATCCAAAGATGTTTGACATTTTATACAGTTCCATTTTTATCAGTCTTTCACTTTTGGTTTGTCCAGAGCTTGTCTAAGAAATACTTACCTATCTCAAGATCAAAGGGATATTCCCCAATATTTTCATGTAAAAGCTCCAAGTTTTGCATTTCACCTCAAATATTTCTGGAATTAACTTTTGTGTTTGGTATGGCCTATGGTTCCATTCATTGACTAGTTCACCTCTTCTTCATCAACCCTTCAAGACCAATTCTTTTATCTGTCAGGTATTTGGCTCTCTGCTCTGTTCCATTGGTCTATTTGTTTACTTCAGGATAAAAAACATAATTTTACAAACAAGTCAATAAAATAAGTTCCTCTTTTTCATTGTTCTTCAAATTTATTTTGGCCATTTTTTAATTCTTTCCTTGAGTTTTCCCTGACCTAGAACAAACATGAAATGCCAAGACTTAAGCAAAAAGGGGCCAGGTGTGGTGGTTCATGCCTGTAATCCCATCTTCTCAAGAAGTGGATATAGGAAGATGGTGGTCAAGGGTGGCCAGGGGCAAAAATTAGAAGACCTTATCTGAAAAATAAAGCAAAAAGGGCTGGAGGCATGGCTCAAATGGTAGGCCCCGAGTTCAATCCCCTCTACTGCCAAAACACAAAAACAAAACCTTTAAAACGAAGGGGAGAAATCAAGCCAAAGTCAGCCCTACATAATCAATAGGCTGAGGATTTAACTCCTGAAATAAGAAATCACTGTAACAATGAGCATAGAAAATCCATATAAAGTAAAGCATTTATTTACAAAAAACAAAACTTTTTTTTTACATAAAAACTTTCCTGGGCTATAGCAAGGGCCATTTAAAAACAGAAAGCAGAGGCTATACTCTGCTCAGTACCCATGTTCTTGTCTATATTTTTAAAAATATTTTTGTATACTGAGTTTTATGAAGCAGTAAATTGTGCATTTGTTTCCTGGGTCCCTCAGAACATCCCAACCAAAGGTCAGGCTGTCCCTAGGAGACACCCCAGATGGCCCTGATTCCGTCACAGCATGGGTCCAAGAATGGAGAATGCTTTCTCTCATTCAAGGGAGACTTTATTTCCCTGCAAAGTGCTCCCAGTGACATTTCCATAACCTCACAAGGACTCTTGCTGTTCTGCAGTGTTTTCAGATTCAGACCCTCTTATACGGACCACAGGACAAGAGGACCCTAGCAACCCAGCAGACCATGGACAGCCTGTCCAAGTGAGTCAGCTTCCTTTGCTCTTTCTCTAAGTATAACATTCCTTTGCCACTCAGAATCTCAAGAGGTTGGTTCTAGAAAGTTCTGTGGAAAGCTCTACTTGCTTCCCATACCTTGCATAGTTCAATGCAAAACCAGTTCCTTTGAAAACCCAGTGTAAAATATCTTCCTTGCTATTAAGAAGGAATTTGCTTTTCAATAATGTCAGAAACACCTGCACACCAGCCCCCTGCAGGTTCCACCTGCTGGAGAGAGGGCGTTGGCTTCCTTCAGCCCTCGGGGATCTGCCCTTGTTCATGTCCTTTCTCAGCCCCTGAGAAGAAACCCAGCGCTTTGCTAGGGAGACCCCCCAACCATAGAACCTTGTCCCCCAAGAGCTTGTGGGCTGATAGCCAAGTCCGTTCTAAAGTAGGGACGGAGAGCCAGCAAGACCTCCTGCCTGAACGTGAGGATCCTCTGCTACTGAGTTAACCAAGGGTGACTGCCTTAGCTCAGTGAGGATGCTGCAAGGAATTCAACGATGTTTGTCACTCTCGTGCCCAGATGCTTCTCTCACTCACATCCCCTCCTGAGACGTCTTCATTGCAGCAAAAGCTGGGTGAAAATGTGAGGAAGTCTGAGGGGCCACATTCACCTACCCTCTGCTTCTTTACAGGACCCCTGAGGTTGCCGTGAAACCGAGACATTCTCTGAAAGCCAAAGTGGCATTCTGCACCAGTGTCCCTCAGCACTCCTCACTGGGAAAGGCCAGGCCCAGCATGGAGGACTGAGGCCCCACCCCAACCCCAAAGAAAGCTCTGAGCAGGCCTGGACACTGCCATTAGGGTGCTGTGCAGACCTCTTTCCAAATAGAAGATGGAATTTAGCAGTCATTATCCAGATGTTCGTGGCTCCTGTTTGCTCCAACGTGGACAATGGCACCATAAATCTCCTGTGGGCCACATTTTCACATCGAGTGCCCTTCAGGGTAATTGGTGCTTTCGTAATTTTCATTTTGCCACCTCAATGGCTTTTCTTGCCAACAAGAATTTTTACCCATCAGCAGTACTACAGCCAAAAGCCTTCTCTTCAAAAGTTCAGAGTTTTTTGTATGGAAAAGTAGACTCAGTATCTGATTATGTATGTAGCCCCTTGTACAGATCTAGAGTCAGATTTGGAACAATAAGATTCTGGACAAAGCCCTTTCTTAAAGGAAGGTGATAGGAACTGAGAATAAAATGCTAATAAAGAGAAACTTGAAAGTTGGTATATGTTTTTAAAATGAAGGCTGGGAGCTGGGGCTAGGGTGCAGTATAGCCCAGTGGTTGAGTGCTTGCCTAGCCTGCACAAGTCCCTGGGTTCCATCTTCAGCACCACAAATAAAAGAATAAAATAAACAAAATGAAAATGCTCCAGGGGTCCTCGGAGCCTGGAAAGACTCGTGTGCTCAGTTGTTTACTGAATTTTGCTGAGTACCTCGTATGTACCTGGGCCTGTGTGAAGAACTAGGGACACAGCAATAAATAAGATACATATAGTCCCATTTTCTGAGCTTGTGACTCAATGTGGCACTAGATGCCGAGCATGATGGCGGGACTAGTAAATGAAGCATGGCAACTATAACGGAAGAACCAAAGGCAACAGGATGGGTGGTGACTGGACCTCATTTGGCCTAGGGTTTGGGGGTGGCATGTATAAGAGGGTCAAAAGAAAGGTGGGCAGGACTGAGGCCTGTAGGACTGTGGCAGAGAGGGACAGCAACTCCCAGCTGCTTTGATTCCTCCTGTGGCCTCTACCCTAGGCAGGACGAACACCTCCTATTAGAGCTGTAGCCATGCCTTCAACCTTCCCAGGGAATGCTGTAGTCATGTAAGGATGGCAAGGTGAAGCAGGAAGTTTAAGCCTCTTTCTCCTAGTTGTCAACAAGGAGAATGTTGCTGAGATAAGGCCGATGGAGCTCCAAGGTTAGAGGTTGCTGGCATGAGCAGTGTCATCCCTTCCCCCTTCCCCTGTTCCAGTGGCCCAGGCTAGTGAGGTTACAGGCTGAGATGGCAGCAGGATTGCAGTGTGGTGCCTTCCCCTCCAACCCCCAGCAGAAACACCAACCACAGCAAGTCCATTTGCGCAGGCAACACCTGCAGAGCTGAAGGGAGAACTATACTAAGAAGAACCATGGCAGGGTAGAGAGAGGGTTCCTTAACTTCCTCATGAGTGTGAGGGTTAAGCATGCAGGTACTCCCGGCTCATACCCACCATCCCAGACCCAGGCCTGCGGATGAAAGAAAGGAACAAAAAGATGTGAGCTGTGCTTACCGCTCCCCACATGTCCTATGTAGTCAAAGACATGGGTTTCAGTGTTCAAAATAAAACATTTTAAATATATACCACTATGTATGGATCGGTTGTGTCCCCTCCCCCAAAAATTCAATTTTTGAAGCCCTTAATCTCCAGTGTGATGGTATTTGGAGGTGGGAACCTTTAAGAGGTAATTAGGTCATGAGGGTGGAGCCCTGGTGAATGGGATTGTGTTCTTGTAAGAAAAGACCCGAGAGATGTCTCTACCACGTGAGACACCTCCAGTTAGAATGGCTGAAATAAATGTGTCACCAGAAAGTGAATATGTAGCCACCCTGATCTTGAACATCCTGACCTCCAGAACTATGAGAAATAAATGTGTGTTGTTGAAGCCATCCAGTCTATGGCTTTCTGTTACAGCAACACATTTAAGAAAATGGCGATTCTGATCTGTTGCTTCATCCTTTCTCTATTTCTTAGAGGAAATACTACAATCACAGAAATGAAACACATGTTTTAATGAAGTCCACTCCCACCCTGAGAATGTGAATTTATGACTGTCTCACCAAATGTCTCCCATTGATTAAATGTAACTTCCACAAGAGAGGAAAGAATACGGCCATTCATGTTTTTATTTTTGTTGGTAAAAGGCTAAAAAGTTCCAAATAGGTAAAGACATCTATCCACTCCTTTGTCTCAAGCTACCACAATGTTTTCAAGATCCGAAGAAATGGCCATGATTAACCTTCCAAATTGCACCTAAGGTAACCAAATGTCCTGGTATTTCCCAGGAGACTTCTGGTTTTAACACTAAGAATCCTCTCAGGAAACCCCTCCATCCTGGGCAAAATGGGATGACTGGGTCACATCCTGTGGGCACTAGTCTTCCAGGCTGTGATGACATTTTTAGCACAAGCTAGTTGGTTTACGCTCTGTCTGCCATGCATCTGGTTGTGCCTACAATGCTGAATTCTGATTTGGGTGAGGAATTAGAGGACTGGAACTTTTCATATATATTCTCCCCAGCAATTCTGTGTTATTATAAAAAAAAAACATGCTTGTAAAATCATGTCTGCTTTCATTAGCGTTTTAAAGAAACCACACCAAAATCGATTAGTAAACATTCACTCTCTTTAGGAACAAAGATGGGTTTTTTTTTTCCCTCAGATTTTTATTTCCAAACATTCTGTGACATTTCCTTTTGTAGGGAACAGGGAGGTTAGCAAAATCAGTTTCTTAGATAACTTCATTCTAAATATACATCTTAAACAAACCATCAAAACAACCGGTGGGAAGTTGAGAAACAGTCAATGAATCCTGTTGTCTAAAGAATAATAAATAGGAAAAGAATGGTTGTGTTCCTGCCCTACCCAACCACAACGCTGACTTCTCCTGCCTCCAGAATGACTTGTTTTAAGGACTATTTTTAAGCTTTGGGGTAACCTGCCACAATACTGAGGGCAAGCCCTACTCCTGGGTGACCCAGACACTTAGTAATCAATGACAGCTCATGACTCCATATTGGTACATACTTCAAGGAGAGTATTTCCTCAAAGATAGGCATTCCAACTTGGAAATTGAGATTTAAGATGTTTATTTCCCAAAATAAGTAGAAGTCATGATATTCTTGACCTGTTCACATCAGCATCCGTTTACCAGCCCATGAGTTACGGGTAGTGACACCTAGCAAAGCCCACTTGGACTCATATAGACTCCTCACTGTGTCTGTGTCTTGTCATCAAACAGGAGGCTGTCACCATAACTAAATTCTAATAAATCACTTACACAAATATCACTGCCAATTACAGCAAAATAAATCACATCTTTGACCATGTTACAGATGACAAGCCTCTGTAAAGCAGTCACCTCCATATCAGATTATAATAATTACTTCATTTGGTGGCTGGATAACAAAAGTTGTAAGTCTTCCAATCAAATCAACTTCCTTTCTATACTCTGATTCACAGTGGTTTTTAAAACAGATCGTCTTGAAAACCATACTGTGTTTCTCCTCCACTTATCGGCTCTCTGGAACCAGAGGGGATGCATACTGTGTGAGGCAGAGAGGGGGACTCTACAGTGCCATACCCCTGCCACCACTGACATAACCTAGCTGAAGGTGGCTTCGCCTCGGATCCTTCCTTCCCAGTGCACTACAGTCAGGTCTATGATCCTGTGTTACAGGAAGCACAGCTCAGACAACATAATGTGAAAGCAGCTGGCTGGGACTAAAATAATGCCGTGCAACTAGAGATGCTATTTTTATGTGATGCTACACCTTTAAAGATGGAAACTTTTTAAAAACAATACCCATGTGTAAGGTGACACAAATCCAAATGAGCACACTCATCCTAATATCTTAAACTCAAAGGTCCACGTTCTATGGCCTGTGAAAGTGGGGCTTTTGCATCCTCCAGGGTCTATCCTGGGTGCCTCAGTGCTGGGCTGCAGGGGAGGCACACAGTTCCTTCTCCAAAATACCTTATTCTAGCTAATGGATTCCATGCTTCCCTAGACCAAACACCCCCACTCTCATGATTTCTGTGGAAATGCAAAAAGCTTCCATGAGGTTCCTGCATAGTTACTCACCCTTCTTCACCCTCATTCTTCAGGCTCAGAAAGACCTCCAACCCAACCCATGAGTGGTGGGTTAAGAATGGCTTCTTTGGGAGCTACAGTCCACCTTGTATTTCTATGTCCCTGTCACAACCAACCTGCCAGTCCAGCTGCAGCCTGAGCATCAATACTGTACCTGCTGTCAGCAGGGTCTTGTTCTGGTGCTAGGAGCCAAGGTCTGGAGAAACTCGAGTGTGCAGACTGAAAAGAGCTGGCTACTCCAGAGCTTAGGTCAGAACAAACAAGAGAATTCAGACTGTGCTACCTTAACACCTAGTACCGTGCAAAAGAAGTGGTACTGTAAGCAATTCCCCTGCCCTGAATACAGGGCAAGGGAACCTGTGCAAACATAGCAGGTGCGTGAATTCAAAATACCACAGCCAACTACAGCTGTCCTCTCCAGAAATAACTCTACTTTTTCAACACAGAAAGCAATTCATTCAAGTCCTAAAATGAATTTAAATCTCTAACAAGTAACTTTTCCTAAAGAAATCATTTAGTAGGTTTTTTTAACATACGGTCTTGCTTATTTCCTATGATTTCTTTTTGAAAAGACCTAGGAAAGAGAAAAATGTATTTATTTTTCCCTTAAATATTAGTTTATTATTTCATATTAGCACGTGCAAATGAAATCTACTCTTATATATATTAATCTGGTTAATGTTTAGGCATCTTACCTACAGAGAATTAATTATAGCTTCAAACAGATGCAAACCATGTCTGTGACCAGGTGCAAAACTTGTAAAAATTATCTTAACAGTGGGAAGAAAACTTCAGAAAAAGGAACTTTTTAAAACTAAAAAGACAAGTGTTTTTTGCAAAAGTTCCAACTTAAAAATAAAATTCCAAAGCCTTCAAAGGCATGGATTACTCTAAAACTTTTATAGATTGACTTTAAAGTAACCTGGCATTGCCTGAAATTCTCTCTAGAGAAAATGAAAAAAGAGGAGGTTTTAAAAAGGAGCCTCCTCCACCCCATAAAATAAGATGTCATATAAAACTGAAGATTTCAGCTTATCAAAACCAATGTCCATCCTCTTCCTCCTCATTGTCTAGATAGAGGAGGGCGACTTTCTTTTCATCTGAAACCACCGACCTTTGGTCTACCATTCTCTGTAGCTGCACCATCTTGTCAAACCCGGCCTGCTCTGCACCCTTCTCTCCATGGTCCTGGTGTCCATCCCCAGCAGAAGCCTCTAAGTTCCTGCCAGCTTCTTGGTCATTCCTACTGTCAGCGGCTCTCCAGCCACCATGGTCAGACCCACTGTGAGCTTCTGCCTTCATCCTTCCCTCTTGTGTCCAGCTGGGGATCGCCCTTGCGTTACTCACATCCATCTGAAAGGTAAACGAAGTTTCTTTGGGCCCTGGTGCAATGTGCCTCAGTGTGCTACTTCTGTCAGCTGTCTCACCTAGCTCAGGGGAGGCCACTGAGCCAGCAAGTGCAAATGTTTTGGACACAGGTCCACGGACAACGATGTGTTCAGAGGTTTCAGTCTCCATAGGACCTAGCTGAATGTGCCTAAAGGATCTGCTAATGCCTGATGTCACTTCTGCCTCTGTGTCCCCCACACTATCCTCCTGAGAAGATTTAGAAACAACACTCTGGGATGTACTCTTTTCGGTCATGAGGATTTTCCTACCTGAGGCATAACTCTGAGTGGCCTGGGTCATGTCTGCAGAGCCCTCCCTGTGGATAGTGCCTCCTGAGTCACTAAATTCCACAGGCTGGACAACTATCTGCTCTGTGGTTTGGCTCCTCTGAGGCCCAGTGTCAATGTGCCTGATGGATGTGTCACTCCCTGGTGACTCTTCAGTGTGCACAAACTCCTCGCTGAGTTTGTCTGGGAGGGGAGCTATGAACTGGATTTGCTGTCTGAACCCTTCTTTAGAGCCTAACTGGAGGTGCCTGACAGAAGTGTGGGTAGCCACTGACTCTTCAGTTGCAGAGTTACCACCAACTGTCACTGACCCAGAAATGGGACCCTGAAAACTAATTTCCTTTTTGGCATGAAACTGCTCAGAGCCAAATGTGCTGTGCTGCCCAGATCTGTCAGCATCTGCAGACAGCTCTGCCAAACCAGGCTCTTCTGTGCCCTCTGCATCCTGCCAGGCAGGGACAGGGCCTTGGAAGATGACTTCTGTGGACACTTGACTTTGATTGGGACCCAATGTGAAGTGCCTCACAGACCGGCTGGCTCCTGCCGAGCTGACTGCCTGCCTGAGGTCCCCACTTACCTCCTCCACCTGTGCAGTGGGTCCTCCATAGACCTGCTCAGTCTGCCAGATCTCACTGGGGCCTAGTCTAATGTGCCTTACAGACTGGCTTACATCCTCCAGCACGTGAGACTGTGCAAAACCCCTTGGACTGCTGACTTCCACGGTGGCCGGCACTGGGCCCTGGGCCGTGGGGTTCTCTGTGCTGTGAGAGGCCCAGCTGACACCATCCTTCTCCCCAGATGGGCTGTACAGTTCCCTGGTGGGCCAGCGCTTAATGAGCATGCCACCAGCTGGTACCTCCGCTCCATCTTCCCTGTCTGGGCTTCCAGGCTCGTGGCCTGCTGGCTTGGTCAAGCTCTCTTTTACCACCGACTCCACAGCCTTCTCTATTTCATCAGCTTCATCACGACTCAGCTCCTCCAGATCTAACCGATCAGCATCCACCGTTTGTGAGAGGTTGACCTCAGCAACTAAGGTCACAGAGCCACCATCAGAGGCCTGGACTTTCTTTACATCCACGGAGACACTCCCTGGCTCACCTTGGCCCTCCCTGGTCAGGGCAGACAGCTCCTCCTTCATGCGCTCTGGAAGGGTTTCTTCCAACTGCCCGATAACCTCCACCAACTGGTGCCGGGCAGGCTCCTTGGAAAAGACACCCTTAATTGAGGTGTGGAGTTCATGTGGTATTTTGATTTCTTTCTCAATGACTGTGGGTTCCGCATGTAACTCACCACTAGCCTCTTCCTTCCAGTGAGCAGAACCCAACTGCCCACCCAGGGAGGAGACTGGAACATCCAAGGCCTTCACCTCCTTCTCTCCATCCATGTCATCCTTCTTTCTCCTTCTCCAAGTTCCCTGCACAATTTCATCTTGCCAAGAGTACCTGATGGTGGACTCTTCTTCAATGTGGATCTGCCCATACACCGAGCCTTCGTCATCTTTGTCATGTCCCCCGGGGTGCTCATCTGGGGTGGACACAAAATAACTCTGCTCTCCTCGAGTCACCTGCCTCTGTCACTTCTTCCACGTGAGTTATGTTTCCCCAGGGCTGCTTGGTCTTTTGATGCTGATGAACCGAGGATGTGACATCAGTGTCTCTGTCACCATCCTCTTCCTCAACAAGTCCCTTGGTGCCTGGGGACACATCATCAGCCTCCTCCACTTGGAAGGGGATAGAGAATTCCTCTGCCTTCTCCCCTCCTACGTAGCTCATGGGCTCTTCAACAATCTCCACATTGACAACCTTTGCTCTCCCCTCCTTTCCTTTCAGACCAAGGTTAATCATATCTCCTATCATCTGCTCGGTTGATTTCCCTTTCAGCCCTACTTCCTTGACATCCTTGCTTAAAAGGTAGTCCAGGCCAGCTTCATCAGAAACATCTATATCTTCGGTCAGTTTAGACTCCACGACTATTTCTGTCTTTGTTTTCTTGCCACCCGGAAGCTCTTTCCTATCTACGTAAGTGACTTTTGTGTCTGGGAAAGAATTAGCAGATGCCTCTGTGTCAGGAGACTGGGTAAACTGCTGAAGGATACTGGTAACGATGTTTTCTGCAATGGTTTCTGTCATGGAACTGCCTTGCAGAGAGCTGGCAGTGTCACTGGTGTCCAACCTGAACCTTGTCTCTCTTGTGACAGCCTCTCTACTCCTGCTGTCACCAGCATCCTTCTTTTCAGGTGATTGCAAACCTTTTGGGGAAACTTCTGGTCGGCCACTCTGGGATACTTCTAGACTAATTGGTGTCTTCCTTTCTTTCACTTCTTTCTCCTTCAATGATTCCTGCCCTTTGGCCTTTTCTCTTATTTGCTGGCTTTCTCTTTTCCTTGCTTCCTTATCTAACTTCGTCAGTTCTTCCCATCTTAAGTTTCTTTCCTCTGAAGCCTTCTCTTTAGAATCAAACATCTTCTCTTCTGACTTTATTTTGATGGTTCCTGATCTATCTCTTTCTTGCTCTTTGGTGGCTTTCACTTCTATTTTCTTTTCCAAAATGACAGTCCTCTCATTTGACCGAGTACTCTCTGCAGCACCTGCCCTGTTGTCTCGGCGGTCTTGGTATGACTCTTGGACAACAGTGGACTCTTTGGTTAAATGAGTGGGGGTGTCCCTGGTGACTTCGGTTTTTGGTCTACTGGGGAGTGTTTTTACTTGAGCGTCACTGTTTCTTATAAGACCACGGGTTGGAGAGACAGTTTGACTGCTGACAGTTTTCTCATAGGTGTTCTCCTGCTGGGTCTTAGCCAAGGAAGAATATTCAGAGGTCAGGAACCCTCTTCGGGCAGCACTTCCAGTTGTGGTTGTCTGAGATCCAAGCTGCCCTAATGCATTAGAATGCACAGCTGAGCTGTGATTTACAGCTGACGGGTGCTTTCTGCCTTGGAAGTAGATTTCTTTCATTTTTCCTCTGTAATAGTGAGTCAGTGTATCGATAGGATGTTCTGAATTCTGTAAAAATTGAACAAATAGTTCATTAAGACAACAGGCATCATAACTTTTATTCATCTTGTTTTTATTTGTTTGCTTATTTTACAGTACTGGGATTTGAACTCAGGGCTTCTACCACTTCAGCCACACCTCCAGCCCCTCTTTTCCATCTTAAAAGCACTCCTGTATAACACCACACCATCATTATATACTATTACCACAGGAATGTCCTTATAAGTAAAATATTTTCAATCCCCAAATTATTTTGGTAGTTTTAGAAATTCTATAATAAAATATACCCCTACAAATACATAAGCCCAACACTTTCCTCCAGTTGATGATTTTAAAATACCACCCCCCCACCTTAAAAAAAAAGTCAAGGTTTGATTGTAATGCAAGCGTATGTGCCAAAGAGGTCAGAGGTGCAGGGTTTTGTGGCTGAAACTTCACAATATTATGATCTTTCAGAATCGTTAATTCCTACTTTGGTGAGGTACGTTATTTTACTTATTTCAGCAGGGAACAGCACTATAATTACAAAGTGTATAATTACTGAACACTAAACAGCATACCTCTCCTCCATTTAATATGCTCTCATTTTTTTACTCATTTTCATGTTGGGCCAACAGGCATTGAACAATTTAACCTTTTTTAAGCTTCCCGGTTTCTTCTGTTTTAACACTTGAAACCCCGTTGTTTGAAAAGGTGCAAGTACAGATAGGCTGTCAAGGCTGCCATCGTTCTAACGTCATGACCTGGGGCTGAGAGGCATTCGTAGAGCTTCTAGCATTGCTCTGGACCATTCACAGAGACTGCCACCCTTTGTGTGCTCCAACTCCACCAAGGCAACCTACTCTTGGGAATGGCAGCTGGGAATGAGAGCATAGCCAGAAGCACGTTCTCTCCCTGAACATGCCCCAGTGCCTAGCCACCCCAGCCCTCCCGGGGCTGGGACAGAGACCTCTCTCCATCCTGGTCTCCCTCATGGCAACCAAGGCATCCTTCAGACAGATCCCAAGATACAGGAAAAAGATAAGGCCAGAACACTTTCCATAAAGATTCCTCTTTCAAGCCAAGTGTTCCATGGCTGTAATCCCAGCGCTCAGGAGGCTGAGGCAGGAGGATCACAGGTTTGAGGCTAGCCTGAGCTGCTATATAGAGAGTTTCAGGCCATCCTGGGCTACCCTTTTCAGGTCAACATGTGTGCATCACCATGCCTGGCTGTTACCTGCTTGGTTTTGTTTGGTTTTTGGGGGGTATGAATTCAGAACCTCACACTTGCTAGGCAGGTACTCTACCACTTGGAGCCATTCTGGCAGCCCTATTACCTGGTTTTTAATTAACAGTTGATAATAAATACAAAAGATCACAGATTGGTTTTAGGTCTATCATCTCGTGGACAACACTATTTTAGGCAATATTATTAAAGATTCATATGTGGACTAATAAGTATTGATCAATTCATTGTCTAGGACCCATCTGTAGGTTATTCCATAAATAGTTAGTGGGCACCCATATTATACAGGACACAGAACAACTTGGAAACTTAAAGGTCTAGTAGAAATTTCACAACTGGTAATCTGTATTCCACAGCTACTTTCTTTGGCACAATATAAAACTGATAAAATAGAGTTCATTTACAAATATGAAGTCTCCAAGTCTTTCAAGAAGCGGAAAACCAATGAATGAATGAGATACCCATTAGCCCTCTTTCTAAGAATCCAGTCATGACTGTTAAAATATGAGCAAGGCCCAGACTTGGCATGCTGGTAAGCTCTTTGGAGCTTGGTCCTGGACCTTGTTTTTTTCTCCCCCTATTCCCTCATTCTAGGTTATGTGACAGACTTCCCGAGTTATGTACCCACAGGTTAAAAATTTAAGTGACTAAGTGAACCCTGAATTCTGATGAATGAATAATTCTTATTTTATAGATGTCAGGTGTTAACTGATACTAGGCAGGCTGACTAATGGTGACTTCCATGGATATCTTTGTTTTCTTCAGACTTCTGCTGGATCTTGTCTGAGGACAAACCCTACCAATCCTAGACGATTAGAAACAAAGTGATTATTCTGAACCCAATGGCCTGCCAAATCTGTGAAGTGGCTGATGGGATCAGTGGAGACATAAGCTATGTTGAGTTAGGTGTACAGTCAGCCCTGTAGCTGAGCCTTCCACACATTCTGCAACCACGGATTCGGTGTCTGCATAACTCAACCGACCCAAAGATCAAAAACACTTGAAAATTCACATCTGTGCTGAACACGTTCAGGCTGTTTTCTTGTCACCGTTCCCTAAACAATACAGTGTACCAGCTAGTCACATAGCATTGATATTGCATTTGCTACTATAAGTTATCTAGAGAGGATTTAAAGTATACAGAAGGATGTGCATAGGCTACATGCAAACACTACATCATTTTATATAAGGGACTGGAGCACCTGCAGATTTGGGTATCCGAGGCAGAACTGGACGCCATCTCCCCCAGATACCAAGGAGTGACTGTATATTGGACATACCATGAGTAATCTCTGTTACCACCTAGCCAAAATCTCTTTAAACTTCTAAAAGGTGTACATTGTTTAAGACTATCTGACAGGTTCTTAAGGTCTTTCAAATGAACACTGAATCCTCTTTTGTCAGTTCCACGGCTGTTGGAGGGATGTCTCCATCCTGCAGCTTTTTGGTCCAAACTAAGACAGTCCTTGGGCACCCAGATACATCTTTCTGAGCTGCACCTCCAGCCTAAGGTGGTGGGAATGGTGCAGTCACTCCCACCTCTGCCTGGTGGGGTAGCAGGTTCCTGAATGTTGACTGCCCACTGTCCAAAGTGAAACCATCCCGGGCTGGGTACAGCCATAGTGTCCATAGATCTGGGGAAAGTATCTCCCTTCCAAGAGTGTAATGAACAAGGCCATGTGCAGGTTGTCCTTGCCCTTCCCGCTGCCTGGCTCTCTACCAATTCCTTCTGCTCCTTGCCGCACTGGCTCAAAATACTGGTTAGATGACCAAAGAGTTTATCAAGCACTTTCCCAGGCATTCACATTTACATTTTAATTTACATTATGTCCCATTAAACTGAAATCTATTTGGTCCTTAACCAAGAGGTGAACTATTGTTATCTGATAAACCATAGCTGAGCCCTGTCCCACCAGGTAAATGGTGCTTTACTCTACCATGGAATGTCCAGGTCGGCTGGCAAGTGTGTTAAAGCTAATTAGCTTTTCTAATACTTACCTTGCGGCATATTTTCAACATGCTCAGTCCAGATTAATATCTCTGGATTACTTTCTCCTTCCAGTAAGGCCCTGTAAAAATAATTTTGAAAAAACAATTCATTAAGAAATGAGAGACAAGTACCTCTCATAAACTGGATTGGGTAGTATTTAGGAAATGACCATACTGTCACAGTGTCATGTGTTTCAGCACTTGTTCCTGGAGATGTGGCTGGTGTAGGGTGGGGAGGCTGCATTGTGGGATACAGCCTTCATAGACCTGTCAGGCCACACTGCTCTGCTCACTGCTATGTCCCTAGCAGCCAGTACAGGGCTTGCTACCTGTCAGAGGCTGAACAGATACCAGCTGAATGAAGAAAATGCTTGGGCTGGGGATTTAGAAGCTCTGGAAAACTTCATCATCCTCCCAAGAGGGACATGCAAAAGGTGGCACTGGAGAGATGGGCTCAAGAGGGGAGGTCAGGGCCTAGCTTCTCTGGGCAGCAGGAAGGGGCCCAGGCCAGCACTGCATCTGGGCTATAGGGCCCCAGCACAGTCACAGCCCCTACTAGGACACACAGTTAAGGGGCAGCCTATGGACAGCTGACTGGGAGTAGAGCTAAGAGTGACACTGTTTCTTTGTAAGGCAGCTGGGCTGCATCGGTGGTTTTCATATTGGGTTCTATGGGGACATCTGTGTATGGTGTGTGTGTGTATATATGATGCTGGAATAGAACCCGGGGCCTTGCACATGCTAGGCAGGTGCTGTACCACTGAGCTATATCTCCATCTTGGAGATGAAAAATGTATAGAGGTGGGAGGTGGAAAAGGAAGAACCACAGACATCCACACGCCTCCCACACTAAGCCCCAGCCTCTCACTTCATCCACAGTGGCATGCCATTGTCTCCTCTAATAAAGTGATGGAAAGTACTTATCTAGGTGATTTCTGCAGCTACGCCTAACTCCAAAATCCTAAAATTCTAGCCTGTAAGTAAGTTGTTATTCAGATCTACTGCTCCAGACTCTGGCATTGAGGACAGAACTGCCTGATGGACCCAGCATGCTGGTAGTGGGGAATTAATACTTGGGTGCAATCGGTGGGCCACTTCCAGACCCCAAAGCTGCTGGAAGTTGTGGGTACAACAGCTGTTTGGTTACTATGTCGATGTGTGAGGTCATTAACCCCAGATCCCAGAAATACACTGTGTATGGCAAAGGACAGCCAGAACCACAGCTCACTTGGAAATGCTGATATCACTAGAGAGAGCCAGGCAGGAAAACAGAGGAGAAAGTTCAGAGCCCCGCCTGGGCTTGGCAGCTCAGGCAAACCACACCAACGTTCATTTCCACTGAATTAAACAGGATCAACCCCCAAAATGCCAGACCCTCTCTGTGGGAAGCTGGAAGAAACCAAAGGAGGCATAAGAGGGTCCACTCAAGGCACACGCGGGTGTGCTGACCACATTAGCAGCCACTAAAGTGCCCACGTGTGGAGATGTGAGAAGACCAGAGGCCAAGGCCAGAGCCCCAGCCCTTCCACTCAGGATGGAGGCCAGGAAACAGGACACCAGCTTGTTAATCCCACGCCCTCATGACCAAGCAGTTTAGGTGCCAGGAACACAAACAGCATCTATTGCCGAGAAAATTCTCAGGTCTGTAATAAGAGGAACATTCAGGGGAAAGCAGACTCCAAGAGTGCGCACCCCGAGATCACTGCCACAGGAGAGGTGGCACCCTATAGCCAGGGGACCAGAGCAGGACTTGGTAAGATGACCAAGCACTAGCTCAGATCCTGCTCTGCACAAGCCTGAGCACCACAAGGCCGCTCATCCCAGATGCCTTAGTCAGGATGGAGGAGCCTATGGGGCATATAATGACAGGTCCCAGGGGATTAATGACAGCTCCACTAGGGGAGAAATACGTCTTGCCCTACCCCTCCAAAGAGGATGGATTTGCTCCTCTTTCAGGGGAAATCCAAGTTGTTACCAAGCTTCTGCTGAGCCAGGCCCCTGAGTGGGGCGCTGTGGTACACAGATGGGATGTGTTCTGGGGTGAGAGATGAAATGCAGCACCAATGCCTCCCCTACAGAGGGCCTCCCCAGCCTTGGCCAACATGGAACATGAGCACAGCTCCACCTCAACCTCTCACATCTACTCACGAGGCCTGGCTGCCACACAGCACAAGGCCTAGACCAATACCCTGCTCCACAGGCGAGAAGACTGGGGTGCAGGCAGGGTCTTGGCCAAGAGCCCACAGCTTGCCTTGAACCCAGATGCCCTGCACTCCCACTGTCTCCCCTGCCTGCGCCAGGCTTCCCTGTGAGGCCAGGGGTGGTGGCATGTTATTAAAGTGTCAGAAAACATAAATTCTGAAGATAGACTCTCCAGATCATATTCATGAAAGCAAACTCAACCCATCTTGGTGATTCCATTTTAAATGCTCCTAATCACGCTCTGTTTTAAGAGTCCCTCATCTGTGCTCCCTGTCAGTGGCTGGATCCCAGAAGGCAGGTACATGTGTCTCTTCCTCTACCCTGAGTGCCAAGCACAGGGCCTGAGACGCACACCTGGGAGCCAGCATTTGTTTCATGCCCCAGGAGCATGAGTACCTCAGAGGCAGGCACAGACTCCCGCACCTGTGGACACAGCACCTGGGACTAATGTGGCAAAGGCAGAGACCAAACCACTGAGATTCCTATTAGCGGTCTTCAAGGGGCAGTTAAAGGAACAGACAGACTGAATCCATAGAGTGCTCCCTGAGGCTCCTGTCAAACCTGGCTATTTTGAGAGCAGTGGAGGAAAACTACCTCCAGGCCATGGAGACTGAGAAATGCCAACCCCCTGAATCACGGGCTATTAGTGAGCTTCGCATCTCATGCAGCTCCACAGGCTGGCTGCCCTTCTAGGAGGAAAATAAGCAAACTTACGGGAAAACCCCAGTCCCTGGTCTCATTAAGACTCCCACACAAGCCCATGGTGTGGAAGTGAGCTGTAATGTGGCCTCTGGCCAGGCTCCAGGCCCTAATGGGCCACCCCGCGTCCTAACCAGCCCCACAGTGGGGCTATCTGTCTGGGATAGAGGATCCTAATGGAATTTCATGGCATAGCTACTGTTCAGCACTGTGACCACTCGTGGTCTCCCTCCCATGATAAGGGAAAAGAGGGGCAGGGAGAGGATATTTCCAGAAGTGATACCTGTATGGAGCCTGCTGTGGTCCTGGGGCCTTAGATTCACAAGGTGCTTCCACACAGGTGTGGAGCTGTGAGGGAAGAAAGGGAGGCCGTGGACTCTCAGAGCTGCCTCCCTCGGCCTCCTCACTATGTGTGATGGAAGGTAAGCTTGGCAGAGGGAGAAATGTGGCCTGGTATACCCCACAGGGACCCTGTCAGTCACAGGGAGAACAACAGAATGGGAAAGAGGAGAGATGAGCAGAGTTGGACTCATAAGAGGAGCATCAGGACCTGAATCCGAAAGGATCAGAAAGGCCAATGGCTTTATGTGAAGAACAGGAGGCAACAGTGCCAGGCCATTCTGGTCATTTGTTGATCACATCCCCACAGCTGTCTCAAGGTCACTACTAGAGTCTGAGAAAAAAATCATGGTTCACAGAGACAATAAAGCAGAGGAAGGATGCACAGGGAGTGGGTGAGGAGCAAGCACTGGAGCCAGGTGGCCTGGACAGACCATTTCTGACTCAGTTTCCCCATTTCCAAAATGGGGAGCATGCATGCGTTTGTGGTGGTAATGAATCAAGCAAATAGATGGAAAGTTCTTAGAACAATGTCGCAGAATAAGTGTTAGTTATCATATCATCATAACCATCACCATTATACTTTCTTCCACACCCAGAAGAAAAGTGATTTTCAGCTAACTGAAGTCATTCAAGAGGGGAAGAGACTCTAAGTCATTCAAATTTATGGTTAAATGAGTGATAATGTATTTGACTAAGAACCAAATATATTGGTTGATCCTCTTGATTATCATTTTTTTAATCTACAACATTTTATTCATTCCAAATATTTCACCTAGTAACCAAGTCTTAGTGTGAACAAATTTTTAATGTCTTCCCTTCCAAAAACCAAAAAACAAGAAATAAATGTACTTCTCTGAGACCTTGAGAAACCCCTAAGAAATGTTTTTCTTTGAGCACACATGAGAAAGTATAGGTGGTCTCAAAAATAATGCCACAACCAGAAATATCACTAGAAAGATGGAATTATAAACACGAGGCACTTTCTACCTTGCTTCGTTAGTAGTCTAAGTCTAGTCTAGAGACCAAATCACATCATGGCCAGTTAAAACACACCATTGCTGCCCATGGTGATCAGAAAGAGGAAATGGGAAGCCTCACATGACCTCCCTGGTGCAGATGCTTTTACAAAGAGGATTTTTCCATGCAATTGTTTTGAACTTCACTGTTTCAAAGGACTTTTGCCTTAAAGACTCAGGCAGTACATCTCTGCCTTGCATTGTCATAGCTGGGCAAGACTTCTTTCGGGATTTTTCTTTTGGGAAATCATTTTGGTCTTGCTTTCCTTTGTTTTGTTTTGTTTCGTTTTGTTTTAACTTTAAGTTGTGTTAATGAGACCTTTTTGTCCTGTGACAAATACCTGAGACAAACAGTTTAAAGAAGGAGAGATTTACTGTCTCGGAGTTTCAGAAGTTTCAATCCACTCTACTGGCTCTGTTGCTGTGGATCTGAGGTGAGGCTGAAGTATCATGGCAGGGAGAAAAAGGTGGGGCAAGGCTGCTCACCTCAGGGCAGCCAGGAAGCAGAAAGAGAGAGAGAGAGAGAGAGCACATGGATGAGGGGCTGGGGACAAGGTTTGTCGTTCAAGGGCACGTCCCCAGTGATCTACTTCCTCCAACTAGTTCCTCCTCTAGTTCCCTCCACTTCCCAATAATGCTATCAAATTATAAATCCATCAATGGAGTAATCCCTAAATAGGTCAGCGCTCTCGGCATCTGATCACGTCCCAAAAGTCCACCAACTGGCAGCCAAGCCTTCGACACATGAGCCTTGGGGGTGGGGGAGAGGTATTGCATATCCAAGCCATAAAACAAGTGAAATTTAGGATAATTGTTATGTC